ATCAGACGTCATTTGTGGTGTGGTTTCTGTGCGGACGGGTATTCTGGGCGTTAGGCTACGGGTGGATAGTGTTTGCGTGCAGTACTAATAGAGGGGGTAATTATCGTATACGTATATTATGAATTTGATTTTTAAATTTAATTAACTTAAAATTTATTTTATCCAGGTATCATTCAGCGAGTACTTACATATCAGCCCATACAGCCATTAGCGCGTCTGGCGTTTGGTATATACTTACTCCATATCCCTGTTATAGCCATACGTTTGTTCGCTATCAGAGACACCTATGTTATGACACACTCAGGAGTCGTAAGTATAGTTTTATTTTTTAAAAATAATTTTTATAAATATAATACAAATAAAAATCTTGGCTTGACATATAACCAAATTTTAAAAATAATTTTAAACTTTAAAAATTTAAAATTATTTTAATTTTTAATAACAGTTTGAAGGGGCAATCATTGACTACGTGATCGCTGTAGTGGTGGCGTACGTGTTATACATACTGATTGAATGTCCCATTTATCACTTAATAAAAATAATTTGCGGACAAAATGTGGAGAAAGTGGTCAGAAATCGAGGAACTTATGAGAGAACTAACGGGGAATCTGTACGCGATTACGAGGAAAACATCGAGATTAAACTTTATAACCAGGGTAATCAGAGTACAAATGATTTATAAAAGTTCAACTATGTACAATTGTTTCAAAACAAATATTTTATAACAATTAATTAATTTTTCTACAATATAACTAGGTTTTATAATTTTTTATAATAAACTTATCAATTGTAATTTACACGTTTAATTACTAAATAAAATAAGCTTTATAAATATTGTTTAAATGCATGTGGTTTGTAAGCACTGAGTAAACAAATAAAAAATGAAAATTATAGAAATATTTAATTAATGTTTAAGCATAATGAAATTTATGATAAAGCATGATAATGTTTCGTTTGTAAATATCAAATAGTTTTTAAATTATATTATCTATTTGTTATAACATGAAACTGTAACATAAATAATTTGTATAAATATATTAATATAAATAGATATTAGTTAAATAGATTAGATTCATATCTATTGATAATACATTTTATTTATTTATTTTGTAAATCTTTTGCTAGAATTTATTTTTTATTGCTAAAAATCTTTCAAACATATATTTTAAAAACTAATATATTAATCATTTTTAATAACTTTTAAAATGTGTCCAGTTTAATTTCAAATGAGTAATGGCATGCATTTAAAATAAAAATCACTATAAAATAATTATCTAACATGCTCTTAAATGTATGCATAAATACTATTTTCTAGAAAATAAATTCCTATAATATTGCCTTTATATAAAATACTAAAATATATTTAGAGACAAAAATACTTATTTAATTCTTATTTATTAATTACATTAGCATGTTATTAAATATAGGTCATTATTTATAACCCTGGCATTATTGAAAGCCGTGAACACCGGCATTTAGATCTACTATAATCTGAAAAAGAAAAGCTTTGGTCGCAAAAAAGTCATCAAACAGTCCTTGCTCATATTCCCTGTCATAAGCAACACAAAGTTACTATTCAGTCGGGACCCCAAGCCTCTCAATACGGTCTCTACAATATTATTGGTGTTTATATCCCTTGAACTGATCATACTTTCAGCCGGTTTTCTACAATAATATTGGACTCAAACGTCAAAACACTGGCATAACTAAGGAGTTCGCGACGGCTATGAAGTTTTGGCTCCGGAATAGCTTGTACTTCATGTCTATATTCATACTTATGAGGTAATGTGACATACCGGTGCTCATTTGGGTCGTAGACTGTAACCTAAACTATATTACAATAACAATACATTATATAATATTAATTATATATAATTACAATAATATTATATTTTATTGTAAACTGGTTGGGGACAAGCAAAGGAAAACTAACACAGTATAATTTAAGTTAAATAATTATTTTATGATTAAACTATTAAATAACATTAGTAGCTTTGTTTAATATAATTTTATTTGAATTTGTACTAGGTAGTAGATATTAATGTTATATGAAAACGAATAAATGGTTTTAATTTAGATTAATTAACATTTTGTTAATTGATAATTTTAAAATATAAGGCTGTAAGCTAAGTACTTTATGTAAATCTATTACAATAGTAAGTGACTGTTAAATAAAATTGGGACGTCTGTCATCGCATTAACTTTTTATAAATCATTAAGATATCCTATATTTTAGATTACATTCATATTTCATAATAATACTTTTTAAAATTAATTTTTTTTATCACCTATTAACTCTCAATAACTTTTAAAATCCTTTAAGTTTAATTTCACATGAACAATGAGCTGCATTTTAAAAACAATTATATCAAATTACAAATTAACCAGCATACTTATTTATGGTTACCTACCAGTGCGAATGTATTGGCGTTAGGGATGCCAAACCTCCAGTTTTCGTCTGGTTTATTCAGGAATTGAGGTCTACCACCAGGATCCAGGTTGGGGTTCATCCTGGACATTGAAACATCCAGGAATTACCATTTATCGCATTTATTATAAAAAACTGTATAATATTTTTGGTGCACTAAAGCTATGTTTATTTGTTAACTAAATTACAACTGTAAATATGTACAAATGCAATTCAGTATATGGTATATTTTAAGTGAAAAATTTGTTGATAAAAGTTCACTATTTTTAATTGCATTTTTCAATTAATGATTATAGATATACAGTAGTCCTTAATAAAGCAATTATTAAGCAATGTTTTAAAAACGTGTTTTCATTTTTAATGAATTGATTCATGTGTTATATTTAAATAGAGTTAACATAAATATGATCCAATATTACAACAGTAATTTATAACCAGTGTTAAGTATATTATTGTAACATTTAATTAAAATGAGTACTAAAAACAAGGGAGGGAAGATTATGTGTAAATTTCAAGACAATTGGTTGAATAAGAGTGAATTTAATGAATGATTAACTAAAAGGGATGATTTCACTGCTAATTGTAATTATTGTAACAGTAATTTCACTTCAATATGGGGGAATTAAAGCAGTCAATTGCCACAAGGCTCCAAACGACACAAATCAAATGCCAGTAACGTTAAAATGAGTAAAAGTATGTCTGAATTTGTGATACAAATTAATAAACAAACTGCAGATATCATAACTATAAGTGAATTGTGTTTTACATATCATACCATTAATCATCACTTAAGTTACAACTCTACCGATTGTAGTGTGAAATTAATGCAAAACTTATTTACTGATTCAAATATTTGTAAGGGGATGACATTACCAATATGTTACACAATTAAAATTCTAATTTACAAAATATTAAAATAAAATAAAACTAAAACAATTTAATGTTTTTAAAAATATTTATTTTATTGGATTATTTTATAATATTATAATACATGAATATTATTTTACATAGTGTACCTTCAATATCTGAAATATGTTTCGGTAACTGTTTTTAATTCCTATTTTAAATAGTTCTCGTAATGATAAAAAAAATAAATAGTAGTGGAATAAAAACTTTCAAAATGTTATATAACTATCGACTAGAGATTACTTTTTAGTGACCAAGGAAGAATAGGTATTTTAAGTTTTTTGATTAAGTACTTCATATTTTTGCACATATCAAATTTATCCTAATAAATGTAATATAGTCAACTAAAGTGTAAGTGAACGTGTAAGTGCATTTAAGATTTTTGATTTTAGTAACCACGACATAAAAATTCTTTAGCCTTAGAGATGTTGTATAGTAAAAGTTCATCTGCTATATTTTTTCAAATTTTCACAATATAATTTTTTTGAAAAAAATCTTAACAACCGATAACCAAACAACTAACTTGATCACGGTATATGCTAAATTATAAAGCACTATTCCACTCATTAAACACGAGTTATAAATTGTCTTATATCTACACATAAGCTGAGCACAGGACTAGATATTTATTAAATTATATATTAGTTTAATACTGCTCATGCTAAAGTATTAGTTTATTTAATGGTCGATATAAATTGCAGCAGAGGTATGGTACTCATTGATATTATAATCAATATCGATTACTTAAAACGTTAATAATTAGGGTAACTTTAGAAAAATTAGCTTATAATTAGGATCTCCAGAAGTGGAAATAAAAGTGGGTAACAAAAAGACGGCCACTTGTATCCCTGTGAGTAATACAAAACTTATTCACTATCTTAATCAGTTTTTGATTTTCAATATTTTAGTCCTTTATAATAATTTTAGACGAGTATTCAATTGATAAAACACTCAAACCTTTATTAATCGATGAGAAAATATATTATGAATAATAAAA